GGCCGCCCCGGGCGGTGCAGGCTGATGAAATCCCGCTCCCCCCTTGCGTGGGGTGCGCCGGGTTCCCCTCTCTCCCCGGGCAGGGGGGCGCCGGGCCCTCCACGCCCCCCCAGAGGTACCCCAAGCCCCGGGCTCAGCGCGGATTTCCGCGGTGGGTGAGGGACAGGAGACCCCCGAGCATCCCACCGTTCGCGCCGTGCACCGGGCTGACTTCCCCTTCCATTTCTGTGCTATCCCAGTGGATTTTGCTCGAATGCACCCAAAACAGCCCTCGAGGGAGCTGCGGCTGCTCGGCCCTTTGGTTAGGGGGCTGTTTCCCGCTCTAAACAGGGCTCCCAGCGCTGTTGGTGGTTGTCCCCATCCCCTGGCAGCCCGGGCTGGGCACTCTGGCCTCAAGAAGGGAAGATTTGGGTAGATTCTTGGCACGAGTGGTCTCTGACCTAATGAATTTTCCCTTCCCTAGCTTGTCAGGCTCTCATAATAACTCCTTTTACATCTAGGCGAGTGTAGGGTAGTTTAGTGCAACTTCATCTCTGAAGCTAAAATGAGAATTAGCCAGTGCGTTGAGCTGGTCTGGGATGAGTTTGACTGGGGTGAGCGCTCTTAGGGATGAAGTCACACTTAATTCCCAGTAAATGAGGAAAATGACATGTTTGGATATGCTGGGGATTAAGAAGGCACAACAGATCCTCTGCATCTCTAAGTATGTAAGCAAAAGGCTTTCCTACCTGGGATGGTAGCGTGGAGGTCTGGACCAGCTCTTGTGGTGGTTCTCCCAGTGGCAGCTATTCCCAGAACTCCAGAATCAGGATTGTTCCTGGAGAAGGTCAGTAAACATCAGTGGTGGACTTAATGTGGGATTCTGGTAGGAGAAGGTCTGCATGCCAGGCAGCTGATGGATTTTTAAGGAGGAACTGCAGGAATTCAGCTCGTTCCTGTTGGATGGTGCGGTGCTGGGAGGGATGGAGGTTGGTGCTGTCAGGCTTTCTCCTGCGGGTCAGTTGTCTCCTGGATTCCTGTGGCAAGTTAAGTAGCTTGTGGAGGTGTGATGCATCTTGTTAGGCAATTGCTTCAGAAATGGGCTGGGAAGGCACCACAAATGACAGTGACGCTGCAGGGAGCATCTTCACTTGCTCTGAGGTAGGAATAACTGGGTCGGTGAGTAGGGTGCTCGCTGTGAGGCCTTGCAGCCAGACAAGACTTAAAAACTGCAGTGAAATCTAGAAATGAGGGTGTATCCTCTCACAAAGGGATTAGTGAATGAGTATGAAATTCAAATAAGAGTTGTAGTGATAACCTGAAGTCACAAAACCCGAGTGTGGGGAGTGGCAGCTGTGGCCTCCCAGCTAGCTGTAGGTCAAGCCAGCCTTTCTGTATTCTGCAGGGTGTCCAGTTCCCTGGAATGCTTTTGGCAGTGACTGCATAGTCCTGTTACCAATTTAGCCCAGAAATGTATGTGAGGAGCTGTTTTGACATGGTTTGAACGGGCAAATGCCCCTTCTACTCCAGCTGGAGTCTGTCAGGGGTGAAACCATGTACCCCCCAGCTTCAGCAGCCTGAAGACACGACTGTAGCGGTGACTGCGATTACTTGAGCAGGGGAGGGCATGGAATTGGCTTGCACAAGGCGTGTGCTGTGCTCGATGGGCCCGTGGCCTCGCTGGGGAGTCTTATTGGGGAACTAGGGTCTCAGGGAACAGCACTCGGTACAGGAGCACGGCACGCTGTGCCTCCCACAAGCCACAATTACTCAACAGACCTCTTGGGTGGTGGGAGCTCCCCTGGAGTCGAGTGAGTTCTGCTTCACGTAAGCCCTTTGTAGTGAAGCTGTCATGCCTTTGCAAGCTTTCCAAAAATGGAGCTGGTGGTATCTTAGCTCGAAACACGTGCCAGGCGAGCGATACGCCTGGATTCTTGGCCTTGCAGAGAAGAATAGTGCGTAAGGTTTCTCAGGCTGCACAAATAGGTTGGTCCCTCGGGCAGTTTTGTTCGCTGATCCCAGCTTTGGGCAGCAAAGCTGTAGACTGAAATGTGCTGCTTCACTTGATTTGGCGTAAAGGTGTGATAGGCTGGTACAGAGCTCAAGGAAAAAGAGCCTTTTCTGCCCTGGCATCTGTTTTTCCTCATCCGTGTTGCACAGAGCTTGGGTTTGATGGTCCTAATGATGCTGACTGCTTTGGTACCGCTTTCTCTCTTGCAGAAACGATGCGGTTGTGATTTCTGGAAGGAAGCTGGCCCGGCAGATCAGGCAGGAAGCCCGTCACGAGGTTGAGCAGTGGGTAGCAGCTGGAAACAAGAGACCTCACCTCAGCGTCATTCTTGTGGGTGAAAATCCTGCGAGTCACTCCTACGTACTGAACAAAACCAGAGCAGCAGCTGATGTTGGTATGTCTTGTGCTCAGCTCTGAAAATGCAGAGCGAGTAACTTTTATCTTGCTTTGGTCCTTTGTGCTGGAGGAAGCTTTTTGGGATACATCCATCTGGCAGCTTTTCACCTTGGCTGCGTAACAGTCCATGTTTGGGCTGGCATTTGCTGTGACACTGTCACGTTGTTCTGGGATGTAGTAAACAGATGGGGTTCAGGTGTACATTGGGCCATTTGAATCCTTTGGGACAACACAAAGCTCTGTAGTTTGGATTTTCAGCTTTCCCAGGGCTGGATATACAGGATAGGCAGGGTTCTGATTTGCCCTATTTCCTCAACTGCCTGAGATGCAACCATCGGTCAGCTGCCTTGCACCCTCTGGCTCCTTCTGATCTTGCAAGCTGAGGTCCTGCTGGGTGGTCAGCCACTGTGCTTCTGGAGAAAATGTGCTGAAAGGGGTTGGGGCAATAAATGATTTAATTTTTCCTTGGGTTCTGTGCTGCTGGAGCAGCCTTTGGAGCTGAGATTTTTAGGCTAACATCCCTTTCTTACTGTGTCAAGAAGGGACCACAGGATGTGCATCTCTGGTTAGGTTTCTCCAAGCCCTCCCTGCATTCGGAGGGCCTCTGCTTTCAAATAGTCTTTCCTGGGTCATTAGACTGATACTAATGGTTCTTAACCATAACTTGCAAGACTCGGGAAGGTCTCCTGCCCAGAAAGTGCTTGTTCTTATGTGAAGCTTAAGATGCTTGGTGTGTGCCTATCAGATCTGGAACCCCAATGAAATGGGGCAGCAAGTGACTTATCAGGAATATATCAAAATATAAAATACAATAAATGTGTTTAAGTCTCCTGGATTAAGCTTGCTCTCCCACTTGTGTACACGTGGCTCTCTAATGTGGCGCTTCCAATGGTTGCCCAGGAATCAGCAGTGAAACCATCCTCAGGCCGGCTTCTATTACTGAAGAGGAGCTACTGGATTTGATCAGCAAACTCAATAACGATGCCAATGTGGATGGCCTGTTAGTACAGCTTCCATTACCCGGTGAGTAGCTAGATTTCCATCCGTTTAGCTTTCCCGTAAAGCTCTTAAGGGGTTTGCATGTGCCAGAAGGGAGTAGCAGCAGCACAGGGGCTATCCTCTGACACAAGGGGTGGCACTCTCCCACGGTGCAGCTACGTAATCCCACGGAAATATGTGTACAAGTTACGTTGCTGGGGGCTGTGTGACACAGAAATCTGTTCTTGGGTGGGGAATATCAGCTTCCAGAGCCAGAAGCTCTGGACACTGAGGCTAAAAATACCCTCTCAGCATTAGCGATGCAGTAGTCCTGAAGTGGTTCCAGCTCCCTTCTGCTGGGAGCTGTTAGCCTTGAACTTGCTGGAGGTCCTGAGTACTTTCAGGCTTCCAAACTCTGAAGGAGCTGGTGCAGCGGGCCAGGGCTCTGCAGAGAGCAGGATTTTGGCCGATCCCTAGGCTTAAAGCTTTTTGTTCTCTTCCAGAACACATTGATGAGCGCAAGATTTGCAATGCTGTGACTCCAGACAAAGACGTTGATGGCTTCCATGTGATAAATGTGGGACGCATGTGCCTTGACCAGTACTCCATGCTGCCGGCTACCCCGTGGGGGGTGTGGGAGATCATTAAGAGAACTGGTAAGCTGCTGCTGCTGCAGTATGTGGCTGCTGCCTGGCAGAACTCCAGCTTGCGTTTGGCCTAAGACTCTCTTTTTGTCCTCTGCAGGCATCCCAACGCTGGGGAAGAACGTGGTGGTGGCTGGCAGGTCGAAGAACGTGGGCATGCCCATCGCCATGTTGCTGCATACGGACGGCAGGCACGAGCGCCCAGGAGGTAGGGGCTTGGTGGTCTTGGAGTCTGCATGTGAGGCAGCTGTGGAAGGAAGTCCCTAGCCTGTCGCACTGGCCTCTGTAGGCTCCTAAACCAGTCCTAAGGGTGCCTTAGGGACTGGCCCATCACATGGGCTGTGGTCAAGGCTGAGGTGTTAACTCTGCACATAGTCTTGTAACATTTTGGAGCCACCTTCAGTGAGTCAAAGAATGGTTTGGGAGGGAAGGGATCTTAAAGATCACCCAGTTCATCATAGAGTCATCATGGAATGGTTTGGGTTGGAAGGGACCTTAAAGACCACCCAGTCCCACCCCCTGCCATGGGCAGGGACACCTTCCACTAGACCAGGTTGCTCCAAGCCTCATCCAGCCTGGCCTTGGACACTTCCAGGGATGGGGCATCCACAGCTTTTTTGGGCAACCTGTTCCAGTGCCTCCCCTCCCTCTCCGGGAAGAATTTCTTCCTGATGTCCAGTCTAAATCTCCCCTCTTTCAGTTTAAACCTTCTACCCCTTGTTCTGTCTCTACCTGTCCTTATAAAAAGTTGTTGTTCCCCCCTGACCCCTATTTTTCTTGTTGACCCCTTCAGGTACTGGAAGGGGCTATAAGGCCTCCCTGGAGCCTACCTGTCCTCATCCATACCATATCTCTCCCTCTGCCTCTCTAGGCTGTTCCCTGGGCACAGTCATCAGGCTGATGTTCCTGATGAATACATGGCTGGCAGTGAAGGGGAAGATTGAGAAGTGGCTGGATCTGGGTCATATATGTGGAATAAAAAGCTCTATGTACCCCTCTTGCAGGTGATGCCACAGTCACAATATCCCACCGCTACACTCCCAAGGAGCAGCTGAAGCAACACACGATCCGTGCCGATATCGTGGTAGCAGCAGCAGGTAAGACCTGACTCTAACAGCACAGGCAAGGAGCTGCAGCTGGCTGGTGTTTGAGGGAAACCCTTCCCTGCAGGAGACAATCCTGTCAATACTGACTGTCCTGGGGCCTCCCTGTGGGAAGCAGCACCGGAAGTGTAGGAGGGTCTGGTGCTGCCATGGCTGGCTGCAGCTGCTGTGGCGAGGGCTGGCACAGCAGAGGGTGAGGGGCTGCTTGAGCCAGCCACTTTATCCTGTGTTTAAGCCTAGGAGCCATGCGGTTGATCTTAGAGCTACAAACAGCTTTGTTACTGCCTTTGAAATGGAAAATAACACCTGGCAGGAGGGCTTGGTATGGCAGGGAGCCCCTGATCAGATCTAGAGAATGGCTACAGGCAGGCTGTTACGCATCAGGTGGTTCTGTATTTCTGTGGGGAGGAGAAAAAAGATACTGAGACGGCATCTGCTTACCTAGAGACAGTCAAAATGCTGAGGGACAGCTGCAGTGCCACCTTGGGAGCAAGGGGAATCGCTGGGAGATGTGCTTTTCTCCAGGCTGTACCCTTGGCACGGAGGTAGCTCATGGCAGAGGAGTTGAGCTGACTGGGCTGTCTGGCAGCAGAAGCTGGGTGTGAGCCTGTGGGAAGGGAGGAGAGAAAACATGGGTTGGAAATCGGGTATGAAGAGACGAGGTGCTGGAAGGATTGGAAGTGGTGGTGGTGTTGAAGGTGTTGGTGCACATAGTGATGACAGAAGTGCTGCTGGCAGGTGGGATGTAAATCACCAGAGGTGGTCAGCAGACCAGAGGAAGGCTTGCCTGAAAGAGTTAAAAAGAGGGTGGGAATGAGCTCAACTGAGGAGGCAGTATCTGGCAGAACCACACACACCCCACCCTGAAAGGATGGCTTAGCCCCAAGCTGCTGCTCCCCTGGCCCCTTTCCCTGTCACGCCGGGAGGTCTCGCAGCCCCTGGCTTAGTGCAGGTGCAGAAGTGGTGCTGCAGCTGTGTGAACAAGCACAGCTGCAGAGTTTGAATGTGGGCTTTAAGGTTTCAATGTGGAGAGGATGCTTTGGCCCCAGCTGCGTTGCCAGACCTTTCTGGGGGTGGATTCCAGTTCTTTACACTGATAGTAAACTCCTCAAACTCCTGACTGAGCTGAACATCAAGGGGTAGTAGCACTGGACTGTGTGACAGTGGGGAGATTTGCAGTTGTGAGGCAGGAAGGCCCAGGTGGGTGAAGGTGGGGTGAGGGGGAGCACAGGGGGCTGTTCAGCATCACCATGAGCGTGTGGTTCTGTTTCCTTGCAGGCATACCCAACCTGATCACGGCCGATATGATCAAAGAAGGAGCTGCCGTTATTGATGTGGGGATAACGCGAGTGCAGGATCCTGTCACTGCCAAATCGAGGCTGGTTGGGGATGTGGATTTTGAAGGTATGGAAAGGCTCTGCATCGGGTTCCTGGAGCATTAGATGTCTAAGGGACTGAGAAGGGGAGGGAAAAGTCCTGGCTCATGCAGGTGCAGAGCAATGCTTATGTTTTCTTGCTTGGTACATCCAATACACATATCCAAGGGTGCAGCCTTCCTCTAATATGCCATGGGAAAGCTCTATGCTTCCAGGCAGAGGAGACTTGTCCTGAGCCTGAGCAGTCGGGTTGCTTTACCTCTACTCCCATTCATCACTCGTGCTCCTGCTTTTAAGCAAAACCACGCAGAACTTACCTTCTGGCTTGCTACTCGCTGGCCTTGCTCACCACTTAGCTGCAACGGGCTGTTGTGATGAGCCCTGCGCCTCTGGATGTCCAGCGAGGGATACACTGGAACCTCCTCCTGGAAGGAAAAGAGGGTGAATGTTCAGACTCAGGAGCATGTGGGAAGCCCACATCTAGTGCTGGACTTGACATTTCTGTGCTAGAAATCCAGCTATTAGACCTTGATTTTTGCTTTTCCCCAGCTTGGGCTTTGCAGTTAAGCTTGCTTAGTAGCAGGGGTGGACTCTGCGCTCCCCTGCCCTGGATAGCAGGGAAAAAACCCACCTTGAGAAAGTACTCTTTCGTAGATGGTAATCTTGAAGGAATTTGAGCAATCTTAGACTGGTTACAGCTTCGTACTGGCTGCCCAGCGTGGTGTCACTGCTCCTGGTTGCATGCTGAGCTCTGGCTTTCGCAGAACCAGGGGTGAAGAAGAAAGCCAGCTACATCACGCCGGTCCCAGGGGGAGTCGGGCCCATGACAGTCGCCATGCTGATGAAGAACACCATCATTGCTGCCAAGAAGCTGTTGAAACCCAAAGAGCTGGAAGCATTAACTGCTTAACGTGGGACTCTAGCACTGAAAACGACATTCCAAACTGACTCCCAAACAGGCCGATAGAAAATGCAATATTTCTATTTATTGTATGGAAGTGGAATTTCCTATTCTGAGGTCATAGATATTTATTGGAAGCTGAAGCATATGCACATTAGTTGTACTGAGGTGTGAGCATCTACGCTCCTGGCCCGCTCGTGCTAGCGAAGCCGCTTTATGTTGAAGCTAGCGCTTGTAGGAAGCCGGCCCTGCTCGTGCAGGGCCAGGGCAGCAGGCAGGGTCCTGGGTGTGCAGCTCCCGGGGGGCTCGGTGCGGTGTTGGCAATCCCGTGGGAGGTAGGGCACGGTGCGAAAGCGATGGCCTTCATGGTTCTGTTCTCACGAGCGCTCGGTCTGCGCGGGCTGCTTGCGCTGGACTCACGCCCAAGTTTTCTACTTGACGCTGGATGTTTAGCTTGAGAGAAGCTCTTCTGTAGAAGAAATTACTTGAAAAGAAAAGCCATATGTCTGTTCTCAGCCTGTGCAGGGCCCTGGGCAGTGGCAGATTTGTTGTAACATGTTCTAGCGTGCAGCTAAGCTGTTTAGGGTTTTTGTTTTTGCTATTTGGATGGTGACTTGTTTTTTAAAGCCTTTTTTTCTAACCAAAGAAACAAGGGGGGTGGGGGGGGCTGTTGGTGTCTATGCTGGGTACACAGGAGGATTCCTGGATGGCATTGTAAAGCGTGCAGGTAATTAGTGAATAATGCAGCTAACTAAATAAAGTATGAGAAGAAAAAAAAAAACCCACACATTATGTCCTAGAATTATTACTAAGCAAGTTTTTCCACTTTTTCCCAAGAAAGGTGGTTAAAGCACTTGTGATACAAGTTCCCTCTTGTCCCAACAGAGCAGGGTTAGGTCCAGCTTTTCCCAAGTTTAGCTAAGACACAGCTGCTCTGTGCATCTTACAAGTAAGAAGGTCTCTGGCTTCCATGCTGGAACAAAGCCTGTTCAGCTTCCTGGCCCTGTTTCCTAACCGCATCCATGGGACAGCACAAACAAAATTCCTCAGATATGCTTTTGTCAAGCTCTCATTATCCACTGAACATTAACCTTAGCTGGGGTTGGGATGGAGAAACTTGAAGGTGGTATTTTGTGAGCAGTGAGGTGAGCCTTGGCCTCCTTGCTCTCTGCATCCGGCCTGGAAAGGCCAATCCCACCTTTCTGGGAGTGGGAAAGGTTTGTGGAGCCAAAGGGCTGTTGCTGCAGGCACTAACCCCACATTCCTGGCTCTCCTGGAAGGGAGAGCACTTCTAAAATCACTGAACAAGGGGGGAGGGAGGGCTGAGGTTCAAGAACTCTGCACCAGAAAGACACTAAGAGCGAAGACTCGTTAAAAGGAGGTTTATTGGGTTGTATCACGGATAAATACAAAATGCCTAAAGTGGTACTGTAATGGAGGTGGCAAATCTGAGACGCTCCACTGTTTCCATATACAAAAAGTATAAACCAGGTGTGAACCTTGCAAAATGGACAAATTTAGTCAGAACAAGCTGGAGTGGCTTCAGCTCTAGGAAACATCTACCAGAGTCCCACAAAGCCGTTCTGGAGGGGCGTTGGGTAGTAGAGCTGACGTACCGGGTAAAGCAAATTAACTTCTTTTTGATTAGAACGATAAGCCTACCTGTACCACGCTTCAGCTACCACACAGGAGACGATTGGCACACAAACGCCACAACACGGACACGCTGCGTTCGGGTTGGAAGAGTGTTTTAACGTCGAGGTACGCGGCTCTCGCTCAAGCGATGCCGGGAGTGACACGGTCTCACCGCGTTTCCCCAGGAGGTTGTACTTGAACCAGAAAAAAAATTGCTATAAATAGGAAGCTGCATTCAAGTCTTTTTGTCGGACTCAGCTATTTACAGAGAACCGGGATCTGTCCCATGCAATGGTTCAGACCAGTTGCAATAGTTAACTGGTGTCCCAAAACCCCACTATGGCTGGTATAAATAGCACGTAGGCTCCTTCTGCTCAGGGAAGGGTTGGGGCTCTGTGAGGCTTGAAATAGACCAAAAGAAAAAGAATCCATCTAGCAAAAATAAGTGAAAGGAAGATTTGAGAGGGTCGCTTCAGACCAGTGTTTCTAAACTGCAGCTGGGTTTAGCCCCTGGAAGGAAAAAAAACCCTTTACAAGCCTCGCCACTGCCCCAGCGCTGCTGGAAAAAAGGGTGGTGAGAGCTGGGCCGAGCCAAACGGAGCTCAGTGCCCGTGCTGGCTCCTAACCCGCTCCATTCCCTTCCTCTCCTGGAGGACCCCAAGGCAGCAGCGAGTGGGAAGAGCCCTTTGTGGAGCCGAAACGCCGACAGCGACCGAGCGGGGAACTGCTGGCTGCAAGCCCGAAAGCAGGGGTACGGGGGACACGCTCTCCCCTCCCCATTACGAGCTGCTTGCTGTTAAACCAGACGTGACCAAGCAGGACCGAGGAGCGAGGGGGGTGCAAAGCCCCTCGCGCAGGGGCTGGTGGGCGGCAGAGCCCGATAACGCTCAGGCTCCCGGCCGGAGGGAGAGATAGGGCTGTTGTCAACCCACCCCGGGAGAGGATGTGGGGATGGGCGACACGCCTTTGCT